ATGTGCTACTTGGATCGAAGTGTGCGGTGATTGTCAGCATCCGTGTGGTATTGTGTGTGGTGTGCGTTGAGTGTGGACACTACAGCCTTGTATTAGTGGGGCGGACATCACGACCGGTATGGTTCCACTTTTGAACACCGTATCCTGGCTGTAGTGGTTCCGATACTTGGCTCTTGAGGCCGAGGTCGCCGGTTCGAATTCGTGCTTGCACGGAGGAGGGCTGAGGCCAGAGGTACTGATCCAATGACATGACATACATATATAGACGTATATATATGCATATATATACACGTGGGGGTTTTGCTTGCTTGTGATGGGGTGTGAACCGACACTCTGTAGAGTTTTCCATCCGGTGTGGGTGAGTGATGGTCTGCTTTGACGTTTGCCACAGGTACCTTGAGAGCAGTGGTTGTTGCCCACCTCAGGGTATCAGTTGTCGGGCAATCGTTGATGCTTAACCATAGCCAAAGTGAAGGTGGATTATCACTTACAATGTAATCAATTAGGGGATTTTGCAAACTGTTGAGGGTTCAGCCTCCTGATGAGTCGGTGAAACTCCGACGAAACAGTTTGCCACAACCCCTCGTTTGTTGTCCTCTTCTCCCTCTCTGCCTACTATTTACCGGGCAGGTTTGTTTGACTATATATACATATGTATACATATATATGAATAAATAAATATAAATATATATATATATATACATATCATAACCGCTCGTTTGTTATACTCTACCTGTCTCGCCCCAACACATAAGGGACATGTTTGCTTGCATGTGGGATATTTTTGCTTGCATGTGGGACTTCTCACACTATGAATCAGAGCGCAAAGGCGAAAATGACAAAACAAAAAAAGAAAAGAAGGAACGAAAAAGGATAAAAAATAATTACAAGGAATGATTATATAATTATTATTTTTTTTTTGCAAAAAAAAATATATATATATATTTTTCTTACTTTGTTTTCATATATAAACATCATAAAGAAATTCGATGTGGCCCTGGGGCACTGGAGCTTCAATTTTTTTTTCTGCATAACATAGTTGTGTTTTTTTTTTTTCTTTTTCTTTTTTTTTCATTTATTATTTATTGCCTGGAGCTTTCGTGGTCCTTGCACGGCCGGGCCTTCCGGGAAAATAGGGTCACCTGGGGCGACCCGCTTGGTAGCATATATATATATATATATGTATCATCACATCAGTGCACAAAATAAAAACAAAATAATAAAAATACCAAAAACAAAACCTGAAGTTTTTTTTTTTTTTTTTTTTTTTTTTTTTTAAATCTATCCAAATAATCACAACTGAGGCCGGGGTCCGCAAAGTCTACCCGGAGTGAATGAATACTGGGGTGGGGTCCCACTAGCAAAGCAGAAAAAAAACAAGGACAAAATGAAGGGTTCTTTTTTTTTTTTTTTTTTTTCTTCATCCTTACAACTCCCCCTCTTCAAAACCTCGTGTACACTGCCACACACGTTCTCGTAGGTTGGCGGCCGCACCCACCCCCGTGTGTCATATCAACCCACATGCACACAACCACACGACAGAGAGGAAAAAAAATAAATAAAGAAGACAACAACCAAACAAAACAAAACGTCATCAATTTTTTTGCACAACCTTATTTTCTTTTTCGCCTTTTTTTGCTTTTACTTACTTTTCTTCTACATCTTCATCTTTTTCTTCTACATCTTCATCAATTATATCCACGTCGATTTGATGCTGCAGGGTTGTTCCGTCAGGACGCCGTCAGGACGGCCCGCGGTACGCCCAGACCGGAAAAAAAAAGATATGTACTAATAAAACTAATCTTATTATGTATATATATACATATATATACACTAGGCTACGAAAGTGATCCGGGTCCATTTGTCCGACCGGATATAATTTAAATTTTTATTTAAAATTCAAGAAAAATTTTCAATTTGACCCCGAGGCAAAAGTTGTTCAATTTAATTTTAATTTTTAATTGGAACAAGAGAGCCAACACAGTCACGCTGCTGTAGCCAAGAAATGTTCAACATCGCATGCAAAGCACACAAACGCACGAGATCTTGGCCAGAACCAAAGAGACCCAAACATACGATATTATTGAAAAAAATTCAGGCCACTGCCGTCAGCATCCCTTCGACATAGCTGACAAGTCCAATCGTTCACGCACATACGTTTCAGTCGACGCCAACACCGACATCATCAGAGGGGGGCGCCTCCTTGGTGAAATGACGACGCTCAACCTTTTTATCGATCGCAATCGCTACTAAAATTGCCCTAGACTATGTCCCGGTACCTTTCCCAATTTGGAGCCTTCCTATTGATATATTTTTCCAGAATACCCGTGAAGAAGCCTCCCGGATACTTCAGAAGCCGCAATTCCCTTTCCAATGAGAACAAAGGCATCTCTGCCAGTTCCACCGCGGTTGTACAGGCTCGAATCCTAGTGAAGGCACTGTTAATGACAACTTTCTTTTGCTTTTTGTCTGCGTACGACCCATGACTCTGCATTGATCTGTACGAAAAGTCCTCCGACCAAATGTTGTCCTCGTTTTTTGCTTTATACCGGATCTCGACCCGATTCGGGAGTTGGCACACTTTTAACTCACACCTTAAAAATACCCACGTGCCATCCCCTTAATCGGTCCTTTTCAGCTCCAAGTTTCTATCGTAGATATCCCCCAACCTTTCTATCACTCCCTTTACTCGAAGGTTCCCTGACCTTGAGTTACTTTCCCATACAAAAACCGACAAGTCATCGACCAACCTCACCCCTTGAATTAAGTTCCTATCCCTTCCCAAAGACCCCAGAAAATTGGCTTCGTTAAAAATACACAACAGACAGGCAAATGGCGGGCTGCTACTCTTACCCATCAACACTCCCATGGTCTGTCTGAGAATCCTATGCGCAGCCAGAAGGTACGTATCATGCAACTCAAATTTAACGAAGTCCATTATCTACCGTGAGGAAATAAACAACCATTCATCCCCTCTTTGCTTAGCAAAAGACAAACCTTTTCCCCTTTTTTCAACAAAAATACCTTTCCTTCCTCTCATCACCTCCATCAACCATTCGACTGCTTCAATGATCGATGCGTGGGGCAACTCATTAAACATCTCTTTAATGTAAAATGAAAGGCCCCTGAGAAATCCATTTGCCCCCTTCTTCAAGGCCCATTTTGAAATCCTATACAGTCTCACTTTCAGATCTCCCACTTATCTTAGATTAAAGTGGCTAGCAGGTGATAGCAACAGTATCATCCCATTCAGAGCTCTCGCAACTCTTCTACTTGCTTGCTTCGAAGGTTCACAGAAAGAGGGAGTAATGGGGCGAAATTTACGCACGTGCTTATGCTTAGGCATTATGTAGGCCCTCCCCAAACTCCCTTTCCCGTCCCACCCTCCCAATCGATCAAGCCCTTTAGCCAAATACTCATCTTTACAGATCGCAAGAACACCACACTTGTCTTCCGCCACTGCCTCAAAACTTTCCTTTCCCCAAAACAAGTCTTTCTTACCTTCTGCGTACACTTTAGGACTCATCACCATAGGTTCCCCCGGATTCTTATCCAATGGAACCCTGACATAGTTAACCAGCAGTCGTTTCCACAAATCAACATCCCTCATCCCCTCGCTAGTATCTTCCTCCTGATTTACCCTCACAACCGTGTCTGCCACCTCATCCAGTGTAACCCATTTTGTCAGCCCATGCTTCAACAGGGCGTCATATATTTTCCTAGTCACACTCCTGACCAGTCCTACCCCTCTATTCCTAACACAGTCCTTCGCGTTGACCAGCGACGCGGGAACGTCCTTAATTGAGCTGAGCTTACAAGTCATGTGCCCTTCCAATTTCGGACCGAGTCTGCGCAAGGGCAGACACCTACCATACTTTGCGCAACAGATCTATGGTTTTGCAGTAGTGAGCCAACAGTCCTATTACGTTCCCAAACTGTTCTCAGACGACTGCAGATGATCCTGCTCACACACTCAGGAAGCTGCTCCCTAATTCGCTGCTTAACCACCTCCCTCACACCCCGTTTAGACACCTCACTACTATACGTGACCCCAACCACGATCCGCCTCCTAACTTTCACCCCAAATTTCTTCGAAAGCACCCCATCGAGAATGCTTTTTACTTTTTTACGAGTTGCTTTCTTCGAGAAAGTCCTAGCTGTTTGAAATAACCTAACAAGGTTCTCCAATGGGAGGTCGTACAATCGTTTAATCGTCCACGGAATTGACAACAATCTGATCAAGATCCTTTTATCCGCCGTCAACTCGAACTTCCCTTCAACCACTCTGATCACACGCACCCTTCCTCCAAATTGCAATTCCTTCTTACAATCTTTCAACAACTTAGTTTTTCCATTCACCCTCATCACAGACTCGCCAAACCTCCTCTTGGTGACGGACCATTTAACAACCCACAAGCTCCCTTTACATGACACAAACTCCCTGTGTCCCTCGACTAACAGATGACATAAATCGCAAAATTCCCTATTGTGCGTTCAAAACCTCACCACCCGTTGACTCCCACTCCTCTTCCTTTCCCCCCTTGCTTTCCCTCTTGCTTTCGCCCCTTTCCTCTTCCCCCGCCTCCTCGATTTAATTTTCCCAGTGCTATTCAAACTAGGTGACCACCTTCCAATGCACATTCCCTCCACCTTCAACTTGAATAGCTCATCCCTCCCCGCAGAGATAAGAGGCAACGCGATATACGCTTCCCAACCTTCCGAAGCCACTTATACAATTTATTATTACTCCCTTCTTGCTCCACATTTGCTAAGTGTTCCTTCCACCTAACCTGCAACGCCCTTTCGGTCTTTCCGATATAAGATTTCCTACAGAAGGGACTGATCAACACATACACACATGAACTAGATTCCAGCCATTCATACGGATTACGGTCAAATGTCTCAGTCAGAAAGTCCCAAAATTTGCTGGCATGTTCCACACACCTATTCAAAATCAAAAGAAACAACAAAAGTCGACCGATCTTTTCCACAATGTACCGAATCGTCCTAGATCCCCTATCCGTTTCCAACCTACCCCTAATAACGCACACCTCCCGCAAGTACTCCCAAATTCGGTCATTACTCAACTCCCCCTCCCCGTTCATCCGGGTCAGCAACTCCGTTATCGCTGGCCTTACCCGCGGGCGCACTTACTTGGACTCCCCTACCCCCTGGGCATGGCACTCGTGCCTCAAAGATGCTTTGCATGACTCGCAACTCAGCGAGTTCTTCGACTGCTTCGTCTTTCTTACCTCGCCAACTAATTCCATCCTTCTTGCACATCTCTTTGAGCTCCGAACACACCTTCCTTCCAACGAACTTCACCATAATCACTTTAAAACTCGTTCTGTTCTCGAAGTCAACGGAACACGGTGCCCCATTCCATGGGTCAATGATGAGCGGTGAAGCGTCCTTCTTCTTTGGTCGCCCTCTACCTCTCCTTTCGGGCTCAACCGGTGAGGCTAGCGGGAACACAGACTGCCGTGAACAATTTGCCCGTGCGGCCTTAGGCGGTGTCTCAACCGGCGGGCTGACTTTCGTTCCCCTTCCTTGTGGAGGAGCCCTCTTTCTCCTTCTACCACCTAGTTCCTCCCCTGCTCCTTCGTCCTCTTCCGGATCTTCCCCTTCATCCCAGTCTTCCCATTCATCATCTCCGACCACCTTCTTTCCGTCGGTCCTAACCATTTCGATAATTTCCTCGTTCACTGTTTTTTTCACCTCTTTCCTTAAAAGCACCCGTTGCTCTCCGAACATCTTCCGAATTTCCCAGATGCGGTCCGCTTCCTTCTTATCCTCATCGGACTTTTTCTCCAAGGCTAATCTCTTCGCCTCTTTCTTCTCCGCTTTCTCCCGTTCGATTTTTTTCCTATTTCCCTTCTCCTTCTTTTGCGCTGCTTCAGCCTTAGCCCTATCTTCCAAAGATAATTTAAAAAACGACGCCATAGCACCTAACGACTCCTCAAGCTCCCTACTTAGCTTTACGACCGGTGCAGAGTTAGTTTCTACCCCCTGGCTACCTCCTCCCGGATTGTGACTTCCTCCTCCGCTCCCTCCATTGATAGAGACTCCTCCCCCTCCACTTCCTCCTGGGGCGTTGTTTCCTCCTCCTTGCTGCATGAACCCTCTTGATAATAGTTCCCTCGTTGGCCCGGCATCGAACAATAGCGCGAGTAATGCCCAAACTGGCCGCAATTGTAGCATCGGACGGGTCGTCGTGGCCTGTTTCCCCAACCATTTCCTCCCCCGGAGTTCCATCCTCCACCATTATTATTCCATCCTCCCCCATAATTATTCCACCCTCCAGGTGGTTCAGAGTTCCAAACCCCTCCCCAACCATTACCCCCACCATTAGGTCCGCCACCCGGGTGGCGGACTGCCATTCCCTCCTCCCCCTCTGTTCCATCCGGGTCCTCCTCCGTTCCACTGTACTCCCGCTCCTTGATTATTGGCGGTGTTCCCAGATATATTCGGATCCATTCAACTCCCCCAAGCAACGCTCTATCGAAGTCGTCCTTCTGGTCTCTCCACAAATCAGCGCAGTATCTCCTTCGTTGGTGTGACCAATACCCCTACCTCAGCCGCTACTACTCCTAACTTCGTTGTCACCACTGACGAGTACCTCCCTCGGCAAGTTACAACGTCCTTATTCAATTGGAACAAGAGAGCAAACGCAGTCGCGCTGCTGTAGCCAATAAATGTTCAACATCGCATGCAAAACACACAGACACACGAGATCTTGGCCAGAACCAAAGAGAGCCAAACTTACGATAATATTGAAAAAATTCCATCCCACTGCCGTCAGCATCCCTTCAACATAGCCGACAAGTCCAATCGTTCACGCACAGTCCTCTACCTCCATACTGACGGTACTGGCATTCCCCTACGTACGTTTCAGTCGGCGCCAACACCGACATCATAAGGGGGCGGCTCCTCCTTGGTGAAATGACGGCGGTCAACCTTTTTATCGGTTGCCGTCGCTACTAAAATTGCCCTAGACATGTTCAATTTATTTTTCTACGTCACATGTTTTTTTTCGGATTTTTCTTTTTTTTGGGGGGGGGGTTGGAACCATCCCTGGTCCTTGCACGGCCGGGCCGCCCTGGAAAATAGGGTGACCCAGGTGGCCCGACTGGTAGCGATATATATATATATATACACTAGGCTACCAACCAGGCCGCCCGGGTCCCGGGTTGCCAGCCCGTGCAAGGACCAGGGAAGGTCCCACAAAAAAAAAAAAAAAAAAAAATCCACAAAATCCGAAAAAAACTATGTTATGCAAAAAAATAAACTGAGTAACTTTTGCCTCAGGTCACATTGAAATTCTTCACCAAATTTAGAATAAAAAATAAATTTTAAAAATATGTTTTTTATTTTTTTTGGCCCCGCCGGGCAAGTGGCCCCGGGCCACTCTAGTAGCCTAGTATATATATATATCACTCTGGTAACCTAGTATATATATATACTCACAAAGTTATCAAAGCGCAAATGCAAAGAAAACAATATATATCGTCAAATAGAACTGCCCGGTAAACCGTAGGCAGAGAGGGAGAAGAGGACAACAAACGAGGGGCTGTGACAAACTGTTTCGTCGGAGTTTCACCGACTAATATATATATGCCAGTGAACCGTAGGCAGAGAGAGAGAAGAGGACAACAAACGAGGGGTTGTGACAAACTGTTTCGTCGGAGTTTCACCGACTCATAAGGAGGCTGAACCCTCAACAGTCTGCAGAATCCCATTACTGATTACACTATAAATGATAATCTACCTTAACAAAAATCAAAGTAGACTATCACTCACCCACACCAGATGGAAAACTCTACAGACTGTCGGTTCACACCCCATCACAAGCCAGCAAAACATCCACGAAACAAAGAAAGGTATGTCACAGTCAAAAAATACACTCCAGACACGCCGCTGGCACTAGAGGCACAACATGGCCGCCAAGTAACGGCCCGACCACTGCCGCTCGACCTGACCGGAAAAACCCGTAGCAGGAAGCTAGCGAAGTCGTAACATATATCGTCACAAACAGAACTGCCCGGTGAACCGTAGGCAGAGAGAGAGAAGAGGACAACAAACGAGGGGCTGTGACAAACTGTTTCGTCGGAGTTTCACCGACTCATCAGGAGSCTGAACCCTCAACAGTCTGCAGAATCCCCTCACTGATTACACTGTAAATGATAATCTACCTTAACCAAAATCAAAGTAGACTATCACTCACCCACACCAGATGRAAAACTCTACAGACTGTCGGTTCACACCCCATTACAAGCCAGCAAAACATCCACGAAACAAAGAAAGGTCTGTCACAGCCAAAAAATACACTCCAGACACGCCGCTGGCATATATATCGTCACAAACAGAACTGCCCGGTAAACCGTAGGCAGAGAGAGAGAAGAGGACAACAAACGAGGGGTTGTGACAAACTGTTTCGTCGGAGTTTCACCGATTCATAAGGCTGGCACATATATATATACAAGGTTGTCCACGTTCGGGAAGGGCCGAACGCCCGAACCCCAACGCCCGAACGTTCGGCACCCCCTCTCATTCGACCGAACGTGGACCTCCCCCCCCCCAAAAAAAAAAAAAATCCAAAAAATCTGGAAAAAATATATGTTATGCATAAGAATAAACTAAACAATATTTGCCTCAAATCAAATACTAAAAATAAATAATAATAATAAAAATTAAAAAAAATAAAATGCGAATGAAATTATTAAGTGCGCGAGCACGTTTTTAACACCCCTATCTTTGGTGATTTTTCATTTTTTTTTTGGCTGTGACAAATGCTATGAAAATAAATATATGTGTATCTTACATAATAGAGAATCTACAAATAAAGTTTAAAAAAATAATCATGCCCCAAAATAAAGGAATAACAAAAAATGAAAAGAGAAAAAAAAACAAATTAGTGAGTGGGCAAGCAAGTTTTGACACCAACATCTTTGAGGACTTTTCATTTTGTCTTGGCTGGACAGAATGGCTTCAAAATTAAGAGGGAGATACCTCATATCACAAAGAACTCGCAAAAAAAAATTCAGAAAAAAATAATAATATGTAGGTGCCAAAATAGTTTTTTTTCGGGATTTGAACCCCTTCAAGTTCGGGCCCCGTACGGGGATCCGAACGCCCGAACGTTCGGGGGGCATCTTAGGGACCTCCGTACGTTCGGCCTGGCAACCCTGTATATATATATATACTCACAAAGTTATCAAAGCGCAAATGCAAAAAAAAAAAAAAAAAAGAACAAAAAATATATCAAATCATTTTTTTATCTTCTTAGTTACAACTCCCCCCTGTTTAGAACCTCTTGCGTACAAGGCCGCCCACATGGATGTGGTTCAGTGGCGGCTGCCCCCGCCCCTGTGAAAAATATGGACCCACTTGCACACACCCAAAAGGCAAAGAGGCAAAGGAAAAACACCCAAATATAACAAAACAGGGGGCAATAAAATCCTGGATGACAAACCCCACATGTAAGCAGCACCCGACACTTCACAGGCCAAACGACGTGACTAGACCAACCGGAATATCAAAACAGTCTCGCCTGCAAAAAAAAAATCCCAAATATATATCTATATACAACAGACGGCCTTGTTCATTATCAAGATGTTTGCATTCCTATTCCCAAACCATTCATGCTTTCATGACTGAATGAGGAATATATATATATATATATATATATACATGGATATATATTATATATATGAATACACAGGGTTGCCAGGACGAACGTACGGAGGCCCCTAAGCTGACCCCCGAACGTTCGGGCGTTCGGGTGCCCGTACGGGGCCTGAACTCGAAGGGGTTCAGCCCCGCAAAAAATTATTTCGGTACCTAAAAATTATTATTTTTTTCTGATTTTTTTTTGTGAGTTCTCTGTTATGTAAGCTACCTGTGCGTCAATTTTGAAGTTATTCTGTGGAGCCAAAAAATAATGAAAAATCGGCAAAGATGGTGGTGTCAAAACTTGCTTCCCCACTTACTAATTTGTTTTTTCTCTTTTTCACTTTTTGTTTTCCCTTTATTTCGGGGCCTGAAAAAAAATATTATTTTTTCAAACTTTATTTGTAGGTTCTCTATGATGTAAGATACATATGTATAGAGTTTCATGGCATTTGACAAAGCCAAAAAAAAAAGAAAAATCGCCAAAGATGATGGTGTCAAAAACTTGCTCGCCCACGCAATAATTTCATTCTCGTTTTATTTTTTCTTATCTTTATTAATATTATTTATTTTTCGTATTTGATTTTTATTTCAAATTTGGTAAGAAATTTGGATGTACTGTTGAGGCAAATGTTGTTTAGTTTATTCTT